ATCATTTACGATTTCGCATGAAACTTGATGATGTTATGTTTCGTTAAGAACAGCTACAATATGTTGCATTTCAATGTCGTTCTGCTGAAATGTATACATGCACATGTTTATATATATATATTCTAAGCGATAGAAAGAACAAGTTGATTCTTAGTGACAAGAAAAATAAGATATGATTATCCTCTTTAGAGTTCAATTAAAATAAATTCAATTAATAAAATAATTTAATCAAGCTAATTGCTAAGCTTTTTTTATTACAAAGTTGATAAATGTAAAAGGATTAGAAACAACAAATACAGGTTTATGTATGGTTTTTAGGATTATATAACCATTTCAACTAGCTAAGATGGTTGATAAAGAAAAACTATACTCTAACTTTGGTACTCATCTTCATCGTTGAGTATAATCTCGTCTATAAATTTGTGGAAGTATTATCGTATTATAAGAACGTTTTTTGGATTAAAAACCTTTATTATCTTGAGAATTTTACGGAAGTTGTAGATATTCATTGGGATTCATATCTTTTTATAATTTCAAAATTCGTTCCGCATCATATTAAGAAGAATAAAACGGAAAAGACACGTGATGAACGGTTTTTATCTCTCTAGTCGTCCATAACACACACACACACACACTTTCTCTTTGGACATGTATATATAATGTGTGCACTGAACACATGTTGTCAAAACGTTTTTTTTTATCGCGAAATGTTCAATTATTGAATACTGAAGATGATCTTATTTTTCTATTTGAAGAACATTTATTTATTTTTATTCCGTAATGTATATAGCAGAATGATAATAAATATCAATAAGCGTAAAACAATTGCTTTTTTTGTTTCTAAAAGAAAGAATTTTTTATCATACTGTTTATAAATGAAGCAGTTGATGTTTATTTAAATGCTATAATAAAAAATACTTTGAATATTCCAGATTGCAACAATGAGCTTTTGTTCAAAAAACATTAGCCCAAAGAATTTACACGATGATGATATAAATATTGGCAGTAGGCTTATCACGGATGAGCATATAAAGGAGATTGAAGATCTTATACCATCAACTAGAAAATCTGCAACAAAAAATGAAGTACAACTGAAAGAAGCTGCAAGACGTATTTTAGAAAACCCCTGTGCTGTAATTTCAAATTGTTCTTTGACGAAAAGAATTGATTACGATGCAGCAAATTTTCTTGTTGAACAGTGTCTACTTTTATTTACTGAAGATTTATTTAATGATCATAGTCAACTTGATCCTGGAGGATATGTTAAATACATACCAGAAACTATTGATCTGATATTCATGGGTCGCCTAATTCATTATGATATAGATCCAGGTTCATACTTTAATAATATCGGTATTCCTGAACCTTGGATATCTTATTTATCTACCAATGGAATCAAGTTTTTAACTACTATGAATATTTATCGAAACATATTACGTTTAACATCACCACCAGAAAAACATACGAGCTCTTCAAATGTGAACAAGCTAGATGGTATTTCTCAATAGTATTTTAATTAATTTTTATCAATATTTTTCTTTAGACAACCTAGCTGATAAAAATTATCATTATATTAACAAAACTGATTTCATTTCAGATGTTACACAAAAAAATTTTAAGTATTCAAACGACATAAGTAAATAAAGTCTAACAATATTTCAATAATCCTTCCTTATTTTTTCTTTCTTTTAGAAATCATGAATGCAATCGATGAGTCTAGCATTAATAGATGTAATGAACCACCAGCAAAAAAACCACTTGATATACCACAAGATAGTAATCATATTCGTAACTCAGCATCTAATCAATCAATAATGACATTGAACTCACTGCGAAAACATATGGTTGGGTTGAAAAATATGAACAGTACAACATGTTATATTAATGCAGCAGTACAATGTTTGGCAAGCACGCCTCCTCTAGTTAACTGGTTATTCAATCAGTTAGATCAATTAAATAAATGTAGGTGAAAACTGATAGAATATTACTATTGTTAGTATATGAGAAACATTGTTCCATGGATGGATATTGTCGTTTATTATGAAATTTTATTCTGATACTCGTATATTTTTCTTCTAGTTATTACAATTTTTGTGTTAGTTCTAAAAACCGTTTTTTCGGTCACTCTGATTTGTATACATAACTGAATAGATATACATATACATGAATGCAAATATAAATATATATATATTTTTTTTCTTTTTATTAGGTCAATTATCAAATCAAGGAAAATGTTGTTCTGTTTGTGAATTAACAAAAATAATATCTTTAATTCATCCATCATCAAAAAACCAATATTGTGAAGTAAATCACTTTAATATTCCATCAGCTGATTCTATCAGAAATAATGTACATTTAATATCGTCTGTATTTTGTGTTGGGAATCAAGAAGATGTTAGTGAATTTATTCTAATGTTATTTAATCATTGCATTTCTTGCTTTCCATTACATTTCTCTGCATCATCAACTATGTCTTTGTATCCAACAATCATTGATCAAATATTTACTATTAAACTTTTATCATCCGGACAATGTCCTTCATGTTTATATATGTTTCAAAATCAGGAAATTATTAACATGTTATTAATTGAAATTGATAATTTAAATGAATTAAATGATGCTCTTGCGCATTTTGTCCACCGAGAAGCAATTCATGATTTTAAATGTAGTAACTGTGATCAATCAGTGAAAATTGATAAACGTATTACTATTGATGAATTATCACCAATATTAATTGTAAATTTTAAAAGATGTACTATGACATTTGATTCAACTGAAAAACTTGTGCATCGAGTGAATTATAATGAATTATTAGATATGTCTCCTTACATGACATCGAATTCATGTATTTCGAACGATAAAGATCAAAATGTTAATTTATCAAATACTTATTGTTACAAATTGTATGCTGTCATAAACCATGTTGGTACGAATTTGAACAGTGGTCATTATTACGCCTATATTCGATCATCAGATGATATTTGGTTTCTTATTGATGATGCTAAGTGTCGAAATGTATCAGCGAGTGAAGTTCTAGGTCATTCTGAAGCTCTGATACTCTTTTACGCTAAACTATCTTATTCATCGACAAATACCAGCACATCAGTGAAACAAAATAAACATCAATTAATGACTTCAACACCAGCAAATAATCGTGTTTCATACTCTTCTATCCTCTCTTCATTGGTATGAATACAAGTTTTATTAGATGCGGATTTCATAGTGAATTGATTTAGGTCATGAATAATTCAACACCAATTAATCGACACAGTTGGCTTAAAGATGAGCAACCATCGAATAATAATCATGCTGATCATGGTATGACAATTAAATCAACTGAACAGTTGTGTTTCTTTTTCGAGAAAATCTATTTTTTTTATTTAGCTGAACCTCAAAGAAATTTTCCATTGGAACTATTAAATACTTCATCAATTGCTAACTCACCAGACAATTCTGTTTTGAATGATGAACCACTTCCTGGACAAACAGAAAGTAGTATAACGATTTGTACTAGATTTTCAACTGATTCTATTGAAAAAAAAAGAAAAAATATTGATGATACATTTAATAAAGGTTTGAATGAATAATGAATATATTTTTTTAATATTTTGATATCATATACTTTTTTCATTTACTGTAGAGTTGCCATGTTCATCAATGTCTTATTCAAACACATCTCATTACTCAATAACTTATTCAACTCATGATGAAGATATAAGAAAAGGTAGGGAGAAACTCTAACTCAACTGTAAAAAGTCACTTAATGGTATATCATTATATTTTTGATTCTCTATAGCATACATGTATCAAATTTGTATTATTATGCTTTAGAGAATTGTAAAAAGTTAGCATCAGTGGCATCAGGCGTGATGATTGAAGAAATATATGAACGAACTCTTCCACAAACGCACGATTTTCGTTTAAATCAAACTGAAATTGTAAAACTGAATCTTTTTCGACAACAAGATTTAAATAAACAATCTGATCGTAGAATGCGCAGTATGGGACTAGCACCAGAAACGCTTACTGTTAAAACAAGTCAATCGAAAATTAGTATTAGATCTACTTCAACGAATGATAAAAGTGATGATACTTCTTACAAAAAAAATAATGATGTTAAATCAAATCGTAAAGTTAATATTGAATACCTTAATTTACTTTTGCCCCATCTGAAACATTATAATGCTGCTTGTGGCTTATGCGTTCGATCTCGTTATTTTGGCAAGAACGTTTCTAAATCGAATGCTCTTCTAGTACGATGTATCTTGAAATGTAATGGTCGTAGCTGCAAATTTAAATGTAATGTACAAGTCTTAAATAATGGCTTTTGTTTTGTTATTGCATTGAACCGAAAAATTTTTCATCATGTTGGTGAACGAATTGGCCGTCATATTCGTGGTTCTCGACGTCAAGCAATCATTGATAAATTTAAATCAGGTGCATCTGTTTATCGATTACATAGTCAATATCATGAGCAACGAAGTAAAAATGAAAAAAAGGGCTTTAATTATGATTCTACAGGCAAATCGAAGAAAGTATTCAAAAAAATTAAAGCCGAAGCTACTGTTGAGTCATTACTTTCACCAGATGTTACACTAGGCATTCTACAGCTTCATGATAAATTGGCTGATGAAATAAACAATGATGGAATTATCACTGGTGCCCTTCAAGTTGTTCAGTTTCGTCCGTTTTGTACTGTTGCATTTACTGAAGCTTCGATACGTTTATATGATGCTATTGTCAGTCATCCAGAAACAGTTTTATCATGGGATGCAACAGGTGGCATCATTAAAAATACTGCATTAAGTTCGAGACAATGTTTATATTACGAATTAACAGTATCGCATCCGAATGTAGTTAATGAAGACACGTTAATTCCATTAACATTTATGTTGTCAGAATCTCAAACACTTCTTACAATTACTAATTGGTTAACCACATTTAAAGAAAGTTATAAAAAAGTAAGTTCTGTGAGAACCTATATTGAAAGTTCTATACTACGCATTCCACTACGCTCAAAAATGACTATCTTACAATTTTCTTGGTTTTCGTTTATTACATTTCAGATATTTCCACATAAGAAAGATTCATTTCCACGACCAGCTGTAATTTTATCAGATCGAGCTCAAATTTTTCTTCAAGCTGCGCTTCGGATATATAATGATGAAAATTATCAGCAATTTCTCGCACGAGCTTATCGTATTGTTACTAATCAAGCTATTCAAGATGACTTATTCAAAACTATCATTCATGCTTGTTTGTCACATTTTATGTTTGTATGTGAAGAATCTTCAATTTTCACTTTGGACTTTTATCTGTGTAATATTTAGGATATGAGAAAACGTATCAATAAGTACTTACCCGAAGATATTCGTGAATTCGCTATGTGGTGCATGTCGTTATTAGTTAATACTGGTAAATGGAACGAGATGAAAGAGAACTGGCGATTAATGTGTCGAGTGTTCATAAATTATTCAACAAATGAAACATTAGACTTTAAACAAAGTTATTCAATTCTTCTTAGTCGTATTAATCACATTACAAATGATCCGAATACATCTAAAAGATTTGCTTAGGTCAATTGATAGAATTTTCAGAAAGAACGAACATGTTTGATACGATGATTGTATTTTTATGAGTTCTTGATTACAATAATCTATTTGATAATGTAAACATTTGTCCTGTACTTGTACATGTTGTATAATGAGTACTCACTTTAGCACTATAATAGATTTTGATGCATTGAATTTTGTTATTTTATCGAATTATAATAATCGAGATCATGAAGCTTCAATAGAGTATTTCTCTGAAACATTAGGATAACATTTTTATTACTAAATAATGATTCAAATCTTCTGAAATAATACTAACTCTCGTAAAACCTATCTATTGATTATAGCAAGGTTGCCTCTTTTTTTAAATGTTTTACTTTAATTTTCCATCAGTCTTGATTTAAGTTTAGAAACATCGTTTTTCAACAATTGTGCATGCGCAGTTTTTGATCGATAATTTTCTGTAGCATCTTTTACAAAAAAATCGTGTTCTTTTGAAATATTCTTGATAGATAATTGATGAAGAAAAACAACTAAATGAAGTGGATAGTAATTTTAAAAAAGATCTTCAGCAAATTTACCATGACTGTTATCAAGATAATGCAAAATCAGTTGCCGAGATTTCCTCATCGGTGAATAAAGCAGCAAAATCAGCAAGACAGTGGCTTGCGTATATCAACCAATATTGTATGCCAACGGTTGCCATATGGTCTAATTTGTTATTGGGTATCGATATTTTTTTCTAACCAGCAAGTATTTTAATATTTATTCTACATGCTAGGTAATTTATCAAGATATATAATATCATCAATTGCTGCATATGATAAGCTTCTGTTAAATACACATGATCAGAGAACAAATGCAATATCGGAAAGACGTATGGCCATTGTTAAACGAACACAACTAGGTATGCATTTTTATTTCTACTGAGAATAATAGATGAAATAAGATTTTCCAATCTATTAAAGGCACTCAGACCTATACGCGTGCTGATGTGGTTTTACAAATACTTATACAAGATATGCAAAAGTTGATTGAAAATTTCTCTCTTTCGTACATGGCTGCATCATGTAAAGATACCAATACTGAAACAAATCAACAACAATTAAAGGAATTGACCGAGAACTGGAGAAAAAATAATCGTCGTGGCCATGGATTTTACGCTAAGAAGCCTGATACATCAATAATGAACAATTTAAAATATACTCTTGTAGTATATTCAACAACAATTAATGATGGTCTTTCCGTACCACATCTACCTGTTCCTAATTGGTTGAATATTGCTATTGGAACACTGGTGTCAATAAAATCGATTCGTACATCATCATCTTTATCACTTAAAATATCAACACCTTTAATTAATGATATAATTAATTTTATTACTAAATGGATATCATCTGCTGAATACATTAAAAGAACAAAAAAACACAGTGCTGAATTGATGCATTTATTGAATAGTAAATTCCAAATACCAGCCGATATTCCAACTGATGGTTGTGGACAATTAAATTTCATTCTTCACAAGATTCTTCTTCCAATTATTGATCGATGTATACCTGCAGTTAAAGAATATTGTTGTACATCTTGTAACTGCACTGTACGTACAAGATTTAGTATTAGTTATATTCCAATTAATATGGTGGAAGTGCAAACGCAACTTCATCATCGACTCAACAGTTATTTTGATGGTTGCATGTCTGATCATTTATGTGATAAATGTTCAATGACTATGTCTCGACGTATAAAATTACTTGAATGTAAGATGATCAATGATTTTTTACTCAAAAACATTATCTTACGATTTTTATTAGGTCCACCTGTGATTATTCTTCGTATTGATTATAACAATGTTTCATCAACAGTTTTACGTAAGCCACCAAATGCAATTTTCTTTCAATCTTTCTTAGAGAAAACTAATATTGGCTGCTCATCATCAACCATTTACGATGTAGTTGCCTTTATATCGATCATGCCAAATACAGATAATAAACTAGTATTAGCAACGAAAATTAAACAACGTTGGAGAATTAATTCCATGACGAAACTTATTGGTAATGGTGAAAAGCTATGTAAATTATTTGCGAATAGTCGATTGATAATTCTCGAACAAACACGAACCTGTAATAGTAACTTTATTTACGCGATTGCTCAATGTTGCTCCTTTACGATAAGCAATATTGAACACAATGACTTCTGTACGTGTAACACATTAAATGATGCTATAAAAATCATTGAAAGTGAAGCAAAACTTAATTATCTTTACTCAATGTTATCTTCACATTTTACGACGTACTATCAATGCCAGCAGTGTCGATGTTCACCTAGTTCATTGTCAACAACACATAATGGTGTGTCTATTTATGAACAGAATATGGAACCTAAATTTATCTGTGGTTTTCCATTAGCATCGCTTGATAGACTGGATCTTTCATGTTCTGTATGTAATAAAAAAACAGAAGATGTACTTTTACCAGTACATAGTCAAATTCATCATCAATGTCCGCCAATTTGTATGTACTATTCACAACGCACGACACTGCATGGTGTTCAAAATCTTCGAATTGAACTGACAAGTCATGATTCACAATCCATATGTGCCTATCAGGCAATATCTGTATTACTTATCGATGAGTATAATGGAATATCAGTAGTGAAACTTGATAAAGTTTCAATTTATTGTACAAATCCTTATCAAGCAGTAACCACGTCATCTGTTGATAAAATTAATGAAGCTTTTTACACAGCTCAAAAGACAATAATATTTTTAAAGACGGTAAAAGAAAATAAATGATAAATTTATTTTTTCTTCGACATTTTCCCTTTTATTTATCTAAAAAATGTTAAAATACTATGTCTACGAAGGATGACTATCTATTTGGAATGAATATAATTTTTCTTGTTTAGATAACCGCACCTGAACCTTCTACAGCATTTGTTTTACAAGCACCTGAACCTTCTACAACATTAGTTTTACAAGCACCTGTACCTGTTCGTCTTATCAATAAATCAAGTGGTGTAAGTATATATCAATCATTTTCTTACATGTAGGAATTCTTTTATTTAGGTGTTGGTAATTGGATCAATCAAATCTTTGACAATTGCTAAACAAACTTCGATAAAGCCATCACTGAATCCTGTCACATAAAAAACCGTTACAATATTTTTTTTGAATATTTAGACTTATTTTTTATTAGATCTGACTCATCTTGTAATTTTTTTATATCGTTTTTGTTTTTTGCATAACATATTATTTTTGACAAACGGTTTATTGTATATTTCTAATCATTTTGTATAATAAAATTTATGATGCTTTCTTTTTCTAAAAATTCTATTTAAATTTTTGCAACAAGGTGAAAAAATATTAAATACATTTAATTTTGTAAAAGAATCTAGAAATTCGATTATCTTAAACGATTTTTTATATGCATAACATGATAGGTGTTATCCATCAGCGCCATCTAATGTGGAATCCAGCGCTTAGAGGAATCGTGCAATATATCGCAATGGCGATTTTGTGTGTGTACATCGAAGTGTGTGTAGCTTATCTCAACCCCCTTATATACGCGAAAGCGATCACAGTTGGGCGGATATAGACAAAGAAGGAACGGTCACGCAATAGAACAATGAAAGTTCATCAGGTCAATGCACAAACATAGGATACAGCGAAGAGGATAAAGTACATAAAGTGAGCCGTAACGGTAAATACCGTTACACATATGTATGACTTTGATATAATTTTTTTAACTAAAATGAATCGAAGAAAACTTCCGTTG